AATCTACTATGTGGATCATAGACACAAGTGCAAGCACGCACATGTGTTTTAACAAAGAGTTGTTTCATGGACTACATGATATTGGCTTAAGCACCCATGTATATTTGCCTGATGAAACCATAAAAATTATGAATCAAGTTGGTACTACTTTCTTACACCCAGACATACCATTGAAGGATGTGTTATGTGTTCTCTATTTTCATTATAACCTTATGTCTGCTAGTAAGGCTATCAAAACCTCTAACTTGATATTTATCTTTTATCCTGAATGGCTTGATATAGGACCTGAAGAGTGCTGATGTGCTTACAGTTGGTAAAGTGTTTGGATTACTTTATATCCTTGATAACTCATCTTTTAAAGCTGCAATTATAAATAAAGTCAAGAATCAGATATGTCCTTTTGTTTCTCTACAATGAAAAATCCCTATGCTCATTTTTAATACTTATAACCAACAATCTAATTCTGTTTCTTGTAATATTTTTTCACATTCCAATAATAAAGATAAGTTTTCTACTCAAATTTGGCACTCTAGATTGGGTCATGCTTCTGTTTCTACCATGAAACATTTATATTTCATTAATCATCAGTCATGTCCATCTATTCAACCTTGTGATGTATGTCACATGGCAAAGCAACATAGGCTGCCTTTTCCCACTAGCAGTATAAAAACCACTCATATTTTTTATTTGATCCACATAGACATTTGGGGACCCTATAAACTACAGACTCATAATGGTGCTCAATACATTTTGACTTTGGTTGATGATTTTAGCAGGGGGATTAGGACTTTCTTACTAAATCACAAGTCTCAAACTAAAATCATTCTTAGCAATTTTTTTAAAATGGACCAAACATAGTTTTAATACCTAGTGAAGATAGTCAGGTTTGATAATGGTAATGTGTAATACCCCATTCTAGATATGAGGTGCAATTTCTACTCATGTCATTTTCATGCAATGGGCCTATAAAATATATATATGCATAGTTCAGAAATTTATCATACAATTTAACATCCTATGTAATATAAACAATAGCTATATATATAGAATATGATATTAAAATTTAGAGTTAACTATAACAAAACGAAAATTTCTAGAAGATTAACAAAATGTACATAATCAGAAACCTTTTTATAGGTTACACTCGTCTAACAGCGGTTTTAATTCTTTTTTCTTATTTGAAATATATCATGGTAAAATTTAATAAGTTTCACAAACTTGATATGAGATAAATGTAGTAGTTATGTTTCAAAGTAAAATTCATTTATTATTTTTACCATTGTTACATGTTTCTAATCGGATTCCAGAATTTCACTCGAATATTATATACAATCCTCGAAGTATATCCACATACTCTCGAAAGAATATATGTACACTCAAATATTAATCATAACCTCAAAATATAACTACATACACACGAAAGATCACATATATACTTGAAAAGTCATTTCTACGGTTTCATCGTACGATATCATTTATGTCTTCATCGAGGATATGCGAAATGGATCCTCCCATCGCATGAATAACACACACATACAGAATCTCACAATGACCACAATAGGTACATTTATTAGGTGACCCACACTAACAAACACATGTCCATGTTTGAATTAGGTTTCAAACTCTATCCATGTACAGGTTCACCATCTCCGCTGAACTTCAATAACACACACACACACTCTTCTCCTCGATTCAGATTAAACGAAAAGGGCATTTAGGGTCTATAACCTAATCACTAGCACCCTCTCATTTTCAATTCCTTATTTACTTTCTTCATATTCTATTTTTCTCTTAAATTTTATTTAAATTGATCGTTCCATAATTATGATTATTCATTTTTATTTTCATTTTTATTTCCTTATATTATTTTTTTTTCAACCTTCTACTTAATTGGTAATTTCTTTTAGGTTTAAAATAATTTCCAATCACAGTTCAAGTATTCCTCAATCCTTGTGTTTGTTTTTTGGTTTCATCACCTCATAATTTCCAATAGCTTAGGTTCACTTGTTATAGGTTTAAGTTTTGTTCCTTATTGAAAATTGGGTCAGTATCTGTTCAAATTTTAAAATACACACAAAATTAGTAAAATACATGCAAAATTCCAAAATCCTAATCTAGGTTCAGAATCAGAAATACTTACAACTCCTTTGCACGATAATCTTTCCGGATCTGCCGGAACCTCCTAATTTATCGTACACACGACACAAGTTAATTAATATAATTTTAAATACTAAATAGAAACTAATTTAATTGAAATCATGGGTTTCAATGACAACCTGACGAAATACCTGAAAATATCGGGTTCCCCCGAGGAAGACTCTTCGGCTTCCCGTGTGGTGGATCGGATTTTCGTACTCGAGGAAGACTTTTTGGCTTCCCAAGTGCTGAACTGGATTCTCGAATGGGTGAATCAGGTTCTTATTCCCGAGGATAGCCCCTCAGTTTCCATTGGTGAGTTATTTTCCCACACCCGAGGAAGGCTCCTCAGTTCTTGCATAGATGGGTGACCCGCCCTAGCTAGTGCGAATAGCCTGACACCAACGAGCCCCCCATCGCTCAACAACCAACTAAAACACACAAAAAAAGTTTACCTTCCCGCCGTGGTGCGATTCAGCCTCAGTTCGGCTTCGGATGGTTCCCTCTAGGTCACCCCTCAATTCCTTTGCTTACTTGCAATTAGAATGATGATTTTTTTAAGTCTACAAAGCGATTAATGTAAAATAGAAAAAGATTGAAAGAGAATAGGGGAAGAAAAATGAAAAAACAAAACCTTCTTACCTTGCTTGCATCGATCTCTACCGTCGCACGACGTCTCGGGCCGATTCGTCCTCTGTCTCTCTCTTCTTTTTTTTCTTTCCTTGTGGCGGCCGTTCTCGGCTCCCCGTCCACTCTCTCGCTCGACTACTCTTTTTCCTCCTCTCCCTTTTTCTTCTACGACCTCCCTCTTCTTTTCCTCTCTTTCTCTCTTCCCTCTCAGTTGATCGACTCACCTCTCTCTCTTTTTTGGCTTCTCTCCTAAATGAAAAAAACCCTAATCTCTTTCCCTTTTATACCCATTTCCCCAGCCGTTGGATCTCACAAGCTCGATCTGGGTTGTTCGTCTTCCATAAAATCTCAGTCATTTGATCTTTTCAGATGGTTCGATTAGGACCGTCCGTTCTCTGATTTCTTTTTGCCCTCTTTCACTTCAACTTATTTATATTTTCACCCCCATTTTTTCTTACTTATTTTTATTTAAGTTCTTGAAATTAAATAAACCCTCAAAATTTCCTTCATTTAAATTTTAATTCAAATTTTATTTATTTTTTCACATATTCTTTTATTTATTTTAATGGTTGGATGTTACATATTGAATTTATAAATCAGCATTGTAAGGAACTGTTTACCTCAGACATTATTTATCAAACCTCCTATTCATACACCCCCCAACAAAATGGGGTTATAGAGAGAAAACACAAGTAATTATTAGAGATAGCTCAAACATTATTGTTTCAATCCAATTTGCCTAAATATTTTTTGGGAGATGTTATTTTGACAGCCACTTATTTTATAAAGAGGCTCTCTAACTCAGTCTTACAATAGAAAACCTAATTTGAAATTATTTATGGTCATACACCAGATTACATCAGATTTAAGACTTTTGGATGTTATACACCATATTGACTAGATTTATAAAATATAAAAATGTAACTCAATTTATACAAGAACATAATCTGCAAATGAACCAAGACATCAATATAGAAAAAATAAAACACATAAAATTGGTGGACAAAAGCTGCAAACATAAGGCAACAAGACTTACACATAAGCAACAACTAAGATAACAAGGATTAAACAACCCCGTAAATTACCCTAATTTCTTTAATCGGTTCGTTCTTTTCTATTATTTTAGTTTAAAATCGAATAATGTTCGGCCCTAATAATCGAACATATAACGAATTTCTCATAAACAAAAAAAATAAATGCAAAAAAAAAAAATCCCAATAAATTATCTATTATGTAAATGCATACAATCCCGTGAAATTAAAATCTAGATATTGTGATTGATTAAAATAATTGGTTTTATAGATCCTTCATTTGACCCTGTCCTTGAAAGATAAGAAGGCGTTTCCCATGCTTGTGAGTGTCTATTGACTCCAAGTCTAATTCCGGTTCATGTGTGAACACGAACCATTCTTCGGATCTCTTAATTAATTAAAAATAATCTAAGAGCCACACGTTATATATATTAATGAACTAAAAATTCAAATTTGACTGTGTGTGAACAGAATATGTGCATATTACGTGTTGGCTTATCCCTATGATTTTAAACAACTCTGAGAAGCAATGGGCATCTAGGGTTTCTCCATTCAGTATAATAATTATATATGTAATTATTATAAGTATATCAAGACAAAAAAGAAACCCAATTAAATTTTAACTAAGAACCAACATTTGTTTTAGTGGAACCTTCCAATTATTGAATAAATAAGATGGAAATGTGAAGAAATAATGGACATACTTTTGATAATTGTTATTAGGTAATTTAGAGTACATAAAAAATGATAGATTTTAATTAATTTATTGTAAATATTTATCCAAAAATAAAATTTACATTCATCCATCCATTGAGATTAGACTTAATACTCTTACTAATCTAAGCTATCAGAAATCAATAACCAAATGTATAATTGTGTATGTATACATATATATATATATATATGTATATGGAATGCATATGTACTTGTAAGATCATGGCATGAATCATCACGCTTATATTGACTCCAAAATATTTGAAGAAACTAAATATCGTTTTCATGCTACGCCACCTATTACATAAAACCAAATGTATAATTATAAGAACTGTACTATAATCAATATTAATTAATTTCATACTGATATTGATCTCTATAAATACTTCACAACAACGCCATCATGTATCCTCACAGAACAAACCGGCAAATTCTATATCCAGATACGAAACTCTCACATAAAAAAATACACAACATATATCCACATCAATGGCTTCCCAACACATTTCTAGCTTCGAAACCCAGAATCCCGTCGAGCTCCTCGTCGCTCACGTCATCCAAATCCATGCAAGCGTGTCGAAGCTCGACTCACTGAAACCTTCAAAGCAACTCAACAGCCTCCTAACTCGGCTGGTCAAACTCTGTACCCTTCCGTCCGCCATTGAAGTCCAGACCTTGCCCCAAGAAGTTCAGGAGATGCGCGAGAATCTCATCGTTTTATGCGGCCAAGCAGAAGGGTTACTGGAGCTCGAGTTCGCAAATTTCCTGATCAAAACCCCCAGACCGTTAAACAACCTGAATCTCTTCCCTTACTACGGCAACTACGTGAAGCTAGCCATCATAGAAAACACCATACTCAACCAAAACGGCGTCGTGTCCCCTAAGAAGGTGGCCTTCGTCGGGTCCGGTCCCATGCCTCTGACCTCCATTGTTATGGCTACCAATCACATGAAGACCACCCATTTCGACAACTATGACATCGACGGGGTGGCAAACGACGTCGCTCGCCGGATTGTGGCGTCAGATCCTGAGTTCGAGAGGAGGATGAAGTTCGTGACGTGTGATGCCATGGAAGTGAAAGAGAAGCTTGAAGAATACGACGTCGTGTTCTTGGCTGCTTTGGTGGGGATGACCAGAGAAGAGAAGGCAAAGATTCTGGGGCACGTGCACAAGTACATGAAGAATGGAGGGTTTCTGGTGGTGAGAAGTGCAAAAGGAGCCAGAGCTTTCTTGTACCCTGCTGTTGAGGATCATGACTTGCAGGGTTTTGAGTTGCTCTCCGTTTATCATCCGAATGATGATGTGATCAACTCTGTTTTTCTGGTTCGTAAGCCATTCTAAATTTTAATGTTTGGATGGGCAAGAAAGTGAAATAGCTGCATAACCTAGATAAATGTCTTTCTATCTATCTATATATATATACATATTCTTCGCACTTACACTGCATTTCCTTTACATATTTTGCCCAAATATCTAAGTTTGAATCCTAAAACTCTCCATGAGAGAGATTATTGTAGCTCATTGTGTTTTGCTTTTTCGGGAAGTATTTATCAATTTACATGAATGCATGCTTCATTCATTTTGTTTGGTGTGTTTTTCTTCTAGAAACAAATTTTCTCCATCCATGATCTGTCCCATTTCGGCTATTATATTATAAAATAAAAAAAAATGTCTGGTGAATTAGTTTCTAACATTGTTATAATTTAATAAGCTCGCATGTGGAAGCCATAAAGTTTACACATTAGAATAATATATGTAATAACTTTTTTGTGGCTTTCTCAAAGAGCATCTGGATTTGGCAGAGAAAAATAAACGTAGAATTTAATTACAAAATTCTACTTAATTTAACTGTAATTCAATAAAAAAATTATAATTAAAAATCCTATTGTAAGATAATGTCAATTGATTATTTAAAAGGACTTAAATAATCAATAACTAATACAAATTAAATAAGAAAGGAAGATTAACATTTATAATTCAGAAGAATATTGAGAATGAAATTCAATTGATATCTCCTAATTTCTTTTTATAAAAAATATAATTTGTACAACTTAATGAATCATTCTAAATTTACATTGACAAATTAGTGATTTAAGACACATGATGATCCGGGTCCATATAGACTATAGTTCTGGAGTTTTATCGTTCAAAAACTGCATTGTATAGAAGATTTCTCATTAAAAACTAAAATAAATCACTCCAAGTGAGTATTTTAGCACACAAAAAAAGAAGAAGTTAATCTTACTTAATGGATTATAATAAAGAATTAAAATAACAACACAAATATGAGAAATAAATCATAGTAAAGATTACATTTTTATCTTAATTTCTCTTTAGATTATATTAGAAAAAATCTAAAAGTATTATGAATTATAAAAAATTTTATGTGTTCAATGTCTGTCATTTTAAAAAGATTCTACAACTTTCTAGTTGATTTAAGTATAAATTTATTAAATAAATTGTATAAAAATTTTGAATTTATTTTAAATATAACCTTATTAAAAATTCTAATCTACCCCATTTCGTAGTTATTTATACTTTTTTTGGATCAAAATGTAGGTATAAAATTAAAATAAAGGGTAAAAAATAATTATACCTGGTCGACAATCACAGAAAGTTCATCATTACAAATAGTGTTGCTACTTTCACATAAGTTGCTCTTTGTCTGTAGTTTCTTTGAGCAATCATATTTTCCATCATGGTCAAATACAAACGCTTTTGAATTTGGAGTTTTATTATCCTGACATGGTCTACTCAGTTGTTGTCCTGAAAAAAAAAATAACTAATGAATATAGACATGTTAGATAAAATAAAAGGTTAGATAAACCTAGCAGAAGCTATAGTTTGAGGATTATAATTATAAATTGCGTTATTAATTATTGATAACACATTATATTTAAGCACTAGCCAACCAATAATTTAAATTTATACTTGTACAAAGAATATTAATCATATATTTCCTTACATGCAATATAAGAGAATTAGAAATTAAATTAATGATAATCTAATCAAGGAGTACCTGTAAAAAGATTTTGGTGAATACTAATATTATCTGTAGATATATCTTCAGTAATTGATGAACTCATTTTGACGGGGGCATAATCCAACAGTGAGGAAGATGGATTGAGATAACGCACATAACTAGGGTATATAGGAGGAAACGTAATTCTCTGATCAGCTTCATTGAAGGTAATATGATCAAAAAATTGAGAAGTAGCTCTCATGAGTTTATGATCAGGTAACTTCATGGCTTTACAATACGTAGAAATATTAAACTCTTTGAACTCTGGTGTCGGAATGTCTAGCCAAATTGAATTCAAACTTTTTGAACATTCTCCATTTTGCCCAAATAGTATGGCATCTTGAGAGGAGCAATTTTTCAAAAGGGAAGACTCTACATCCGTGGCATAAAAGTCATTTAAGTGCTTTTGGATAAAGAGATTATCATTGTTAGTGTCAAGATGTTCAAGTCCGTTGCCAATGCTTCTTTCGCACAGTACTTGATTCTGGTGTGATGATTTGTTTATATAGTACGTTTCTAAATTGGAATTCTGAATCTTGTTATCATTGGTTTTGTCATTCTTCATCTGATTTCTGTATTTCTATCAGGAGACAATTATAGAGGAACAATTATCAACCAAAAGATCATTGTTAAGTTTATTGAAAGAGATTTGAACAATGACAAATACTCATAGAGACGAAAAGAATTTCTGATGAATCAACTCACCTGCAAATGACTGGCAACGTTCTCTCTTGTGAGCCCGGGTACATTCATGATGTTAAGTAATTTTTTTGGATGTACAGCTGCAATATTTCAGATATAATTTTGGCAATAATTAAGTGTTGTTTAATTGTATATTAAGTACTCGATTTCAACTTAAATCAGTCGGTTATGTGTGTGTGTGTGTATATATATATATGATATTCATATGTGCGCTTTTAGTTATTAATTACTACACCAAAGAGAATATAATCAAGCAAAAGAAAATATCAATATCAACAATCTAAAATGCCAAAAGGAGTTCTATAATTACCACTTCCGGCAAGTCTCTGGACAGCATCAACGAACTTGTCATGGAGCTCAGAGTTCCACGAGAGTCGCGGTTTCTTTCCTCGCGAAGAAGACGAAGCACCAGATTTCAAGTTACCATCAATTCTTTTCTTGATCATGATCATTTGGGAGTTTGATTTCCGATGTTGGTCCATAATTCTGATTTCCTTTCTATCGCCAGATTTCTCTGCACTATGATCTGCCTTCTTCCTCACCACATGTTGCCATATATTCTTGATTTCCTGAAGTCTAAGGGGCTTCAATATATAATCTCTAGCACCATGCTTAATACACTTCATTATATTGTCTTTATTGTCGTCGGAAGAAACCACTGTGTTCATCATGGATTAATCTTGAAGTAATTAGTAAAAGATAAAATTTAACATTCATATGGTAAAAAAAAAATTTAGTAACAAGAATTAATAGGGTTAATTTAATTAGGCTTACTAATTACTGGTAAGTCCATCTCGAGACTAATAATCTCTAAAAGCTCGAACCCGCCAACGTCGTTATACCTGTTAACATCGGTAATTACTACGTCATATTTGTTTCTTTTGTCTCTCAATTCTGCAAGTGCTTCACTGGCAATCGTAGTCGCTGTAACTGCAGCAAGAGAAAAAAATTTAATATAATTAGGAAACATGAAATATATTATGAATCATACTCATAATATTTTGTAAAAATAAATAACATACTAAATATTTAGTTAAATAATAATTAAAAAAAAAAAAACTGAAAAATTAAATTACCTTGATATTGACATCGTTGGAGTAGGGCAACAAGATACTTGAGACAGACGATGTTTGAATCAATAGCCAACACTCTTACCTCTCTCGGATCAAAAGACGACTCCTCGCCATTATCTTCAAGACTTGATACCTTAAATTCAGCCTCGTTTTTTGACATAATCATAATAATAATAATAATAAGAGACAGTCTTTGATTGTGTTTTGAAGATCTGGGTTTATTTGCAAGGCTTTTATGGGTATTAATGTTAAGTGGAAGAAGATTTTCTTATATAAATTAATGTGCGAAAGAGGAAAAAGAATATTGAGCATTTAATGGGGCATACCAAATAATAAATTAAAGTTTCTATGATTTGAGAGATACAATTCAGAGAGGAAAGTTTGATTTCTTTTTTTTACCATTACATATTCTTAATTCCAATAAATAATTCAATTGATTATTATCAAATTTAATAAAAAAAATCAATTATATTTTTTGAAATTTAAAAAATTTTACTAATTTTATTTTTTATAAGAAAAATATATATTGACTTTACATAAATGTCAAGGTTGTAAAAATTCAATTATAAGATTTGTGTTATTATGCCATATATATTGGGTATTAATGGAAACACCGGGAGAATACTAAAATGGAAAAAGCCACTCAACCCTTTTATTTTTCCTTGGTGAAAATAAAAGCAGTACACTAATTAATCAGGTGGATCATATTGAAACACGAACTTCTGTAACAATTAACACGGCATATGGGAACATATTATATATATTTATATATAGAGCTAATTAATATATATTAAAAAAATTCATCAAGCCGACTCTCTTCTTGTCTTATTCCCAATAAATGAAAATAAAAAAAAACATGAAATAATACAATGTTAAGGAAATTAAACAAGATACATAGAACATAAATTAATAAAAATGGGATACATCAATTGTCTCAAAACATAGGCATATATATGTATATATAGATATATATATATATATATATGATGAATTAATTGTACTTGCATTCTTTGGGGACGCCTTGAGGGAATCGCTTGTAGTCAGTGCAATAATTGTAAACCATGTATTTCTTCTGGACCCATTTGATTTGGCTTTGCCTCACAAGATCAAGTTTTTTCCAAAGCCATGCATTAACGTTTGGACTGCATAAAGTTTTACCGGCGCCGGATAAGATGCAGGCATCGGCGTTGAAGTTCCTGTAGGAAGCAACGAAGGGTGCTCGACTCCAGTCTGTCTTCACTCTCCCCCCCTGCGTCGCCCACTCGTCGGCGTTCCATAAACTTGAATAAATCCTCATTGCTTGATTCTTAGGGAATGGAACACCGATTGACTCCAAGTTCTTGAATTGTCTTATCGCGATCCCATCAACGTAGAATCTAAAAAGTTCAACAACAAGAGCAACTGCATATTAATTAACCTATCTCTCATATTTTACGTAGAGTTCATAATATGCATATATATATATATATATGTGTGTGTGCTCTTACACGATACACCGAGGATTCCATAGAACGGAGTAGGTGTGGAAGTCAGCAGTGGGGTCAAACCAAAGGTAGAATTGCTGTTCTCTGCGGCCTTTTCCTTGAGTGAAAACATTAGTGTGAAGAACATAAGGCTGGCCAGATACGTTTCCCAAGAATTCGAAGTCAATCTCATCCCAGGTTGCTCCTAGGGAAGATAACTGCAATATATGTGTGCATGTATATATATATTAATAAGGTAATATAATAGAAATATGTATATATATATATATAGTAGATAGAAGAGTTACGTAGTAGGCGGTGACAGTGCCAGCAGAGTTTCCAGGAACAAGCTTGAGCTCCATGTCGATTTTCCCGAACAGATATTTGTTTCTAGATTTGAAGCCGGAACCGGAGATCTTGTCGAGGGAGAGAGTAAGATCTTGTCCACCATTGTGTATTGACCCACGGCCATTTCCAAAGGTGATTTGGAAGTCTCTGTAGAAGTTACCAGCAGAGACAACAATCAAATAGTTAAGCAGAACAGAGAATAGTAGCCCTCCTGTTTTCCAAGAACAAGAAGAAGAAAAAGCTGCCATATCTTATCAAAGTTGCAGATCGTTAATGGAGAAAAATGGGTTAATTATGATTGTTTTTATGAATTTGGATTGTTGTAGGGAAGCCTATATATATATAGAGAGAAAGAGAATGGTAGCTAGTGAAGGTGAGTTGGTAAATGGTCGATGTGGTGACAAGTAGTCGTATACATAATGGACTTCCATTATCAAAAGCTTTACTTGGAGACGCGGTTTCTCAAATGTTGTTAGCTGTTTACTTCTTCTTATGCCGCATACAAGCGTAGGAGTCAACTGTTTCTTTTAATTTTCTTGAGTTCACCAACCTCTTATGATCTAACCAGGGTTTTTTTATGTTGTTAGCAGCAAATTTGCGCGTATTTATTTTATAGGAATGTGCATAAACCTTGGTCGACCATCATATACTCTCTCTATACATGCAGTGGGCGTTGACCATTGGAGTAATCGTATACATGAACTTGCTTGAAGATGATCAAAACAGTTCTGTTTTACCTAGTAAATTTTTCTTGGACCCAAAATATAGGCGGAAGTAAACTCAAAAAAAGAAAGGCACCCAAGAATCGGCCCTTATTTGTGTAAAACAATATGACAAACATTTGGGCTTTGTTTTAAGCCCATGAATTCTAATGTCTTCTTTGCTCTCCATGATTTATAACGTTGTTTACATATTTGTGAGGAATATGAAATTTGATTACCATATTTTTTGTTGTAGATTTTTTAATCTACCAAAATTAAGGTGTATATAACGAAAATGCTACAACCAAGCTTCGACTCCTTGCCTCACTGAGAAACAAGATCGTTGTACGTTACCAAATAGAGAAGGAACGTTCAATCAGGTGTGATTTTAACTTATAACAATTAAATTCCAAATTATGCTCTTGAATTCAAGGTTGAAGTCGTAGCTTAACATCAAGAAACCAAATCCAATCGGGAACTACGGAGAATAAGCAGCTTCTTATATATATATATATATATATATATGTGTGTGTGTGCATATCTCAATAGAAAATCATAGTAACCTGCCAAGGCCCCATCATCGTCCACCTCTGTTCTGTTCTTAAAACTCAACATGTTTTGGTTTCCCTGTCTTATCCTACTTACATCACGAACTGAACTTTTGTCCCGTCAATGACATTGAGTCAGAAAGACTCGAGAACTGTGTGAATTTGGATTTACCCACATAGAAACTGCTGCATGATTTTACGCACTCCAAAATTTTACCCTATTTGTACTGTACAAAAACAGAGCAGGCTATTTATTTTAAATATACATTCTGTCATATTTACAAGCAAGACAACACAAGACCGAAAATCTAAACGGAAACGACACACTATACTTGAAAACAAGGCCTTTATCATACAATATATATGGGTTTTTCTGTTCAGCTCACGGTGCATTCTCTTGGTTGACCCTGAGGAAATCGCTTAGCGTCGACGCAGTAATTGTAAATCATGAACCGCCTCCGGACCCAGCTGAGCTTTTGCCGGTTGGCGAATCCCATCTCCGGCGAGAGCCAAGAATGAGCCACCGGTGATCTTGAATTACAAGTAGATCGCCCCAATAACCAGACACAAGCGTCGGTATGAAAGTTCCTGTAGGAGGCAGTGAAAGGAGCTTGGCTCCAGTCCGTCTTCACCAAACCACCTCTGGTCGCCCAATCATCGGCATTCCACAGACTCGAGTATAACCTCATCGGCTGGCTCTTCGGAAATGGCACGCCCAATCTTTCCAAGTTCTTGAACTCCCTAATCGGCACCTCATCTACATAGAAGCTTCACAAATAATACAAAGAAAATTGCTTTACAATTTTGATAATTATATATGACAAACTTATGTATCTATATATACTTACACAATACGTTGAGGATTCCAAAGAACAGAGTAGGTATGAAAATCTGCAGTTGGATCAAACCAGAGATAGAACTGCTGTTCTCTGTCACCTTTTCCTTGAGCGTACACATTGGTATGAACAATGTACGGATTACCAGTCAAGTTACCAAGAAACTCGAAATCTATTTCGTCCCAACTTGGGCCTTGAGATCGTAACTGTGTTGCACAATTTTACTTTTTAAACTCAGTAAAAACACCATTAGAGCAACAAATATGAATGGAGATGAAAAAAGCTTACGTAGTATGCAGTGACTGTGCCAGCAGAATTACCAGGGACAAGCTTTAACTGCATATCGATCTTGCCAAATAAGTACTGGTGCTTGGATTGAAACCCGGAGCCAGAAAATCTGTCAAGCGACAGAGTAAGAAGTACGCCATTGTCGAGTATCTTGCCACGACCATCTCCCCATGTGATATCGAATTCTTGGTACAAGTTTCCAGCAGAAGTTACAGATATTACAGTAACCAGTACTAGCAGTACAGCAAGGGAAGAAGGAGAAGAAGAAGAAGAAGAAGAAGAAGAAGAAGAAGAAGAAGAAGACATAGTTTTGTCAAATCAAAAAGCTGAGACTACTCATTGAAGGGGGCATTCATGGGAGTTTATATAGGCGCCAAGATGGTAAAAGAGGACAAGAAACAGACTGAAGAAGGATTTTGGAAGTATGCTTGCCGTTTGGGTGTGTATGTGGCAGAGTTGAAAACAGCTGGAGGTTGATGATGAATTGAACCAAGAAACGAATGGCTTATAATTTATATTTCATATTCTATTTTTGTGTTTTTACGTTTTTTTTTTTTTTTTTTTTTCCCACAGAGTATTTTTCTTCCATGGGGCTAATTAAAAGGTTCGGTGCCGTCACTTTGATATATAATGAATGTGATTGATTTATATATATCCATAACTCACCTTTTTAATGAATGGGAAAAGATGATAATCATACTTTTGGATTTTAGTTTATTTGTAGGAAAATTGAATAATCAAGTGAGTGTGAATTGGAATTTTTTAATTCTAGGGAAAATGCAAATATTTTTTTTTAAAAAAAAAAAAATTAGTTCGTTAATTAAAAAATATATTGATAATACAATTCTATGTAAGTACAAATAAATTTTCACTGGAAAGTTGGCCAACATTTTATTTTAAAAATAAATTATAAAATTTATAATTAATTAATAAAAGTTAGAACTAAATATATTATAAAATAATTTTTTTATTTATTAATTACCCAATATTTTTCTTTTTGGGAGAAGATAAAATCAAAATGAATTTTTTTTTTAATTGATTTTCAAAATTTTCGATTCTATCTTATCCAAATCTTATTGGGTGCTTTGTCGAGTGTGCCAAAAATAAACACGGACTGGAGTGCGAGCTGCGGAAGCCACGCAGCCCCAAAGGGGAGGGCCATGCGTCGTGAACCCAGTTTTCACGTATGCCCTTCATTTGGAAGGTAAAGGGAAACACTAACGTTTGCTTTTTTTTTTTTTTCTAATGGACATTAATTTGATTCTCATTCAAAATTAGAGCGTCTTATTTTGTAAAAGTTATTAACCTATAATATTTTTTAAAAATTATTTATAAATATAATAGTTTAACTATAATAATTAAATTTAATTTAGTTTGAAAAATATATTATGTTTTTTTTTTAACAAAATAAACACTATAAAACTACTAAAAATTCTCTTAAATAGAATAATTACAAAACTTTAAAACTCATCCTATTTTTTTATGCTTAAAAATATCTTATTTTTTAATCAAACTTATAAACTTCTATTGTAACAACCCCCGAACTTCAATGGAGACATTATAAATTTAGTACGGAAGCGAAATAAATAGCTATAGTTTACATTCTTTACATAATAACTGAAAGTAACAAATAAGGTTACGAGAATAATCCTTCTAAAAGAACAACTAATAACCAAAGAAATAAAGTAAAAGTAAACAAACTGGACGTCCTATTCGCGATTCTCTTGTGGATCAAGTTCTGGATCATGGTTCTCTTGATCTGAAATGGTTAATGAAAGAGTGAGCTACACTAACCCAGTAAAAATATTACGCTGCTAACCGACACAGAAATGAAGGTTGGTAGAAATCATAAAAACAACTAATTGAGCTCTTAATTTAAGTAAATCCGTTTATCATAAATAAAATTATTTACCGCATACTTACCGTAACGAGATTTCTAAAAACAACCTATAGAGCCAATAACATAACACATATCATAATTTCATATACAATCAGTCGGAACAATGACTTTTCCTTTTATCAGTCTATTGGTATCCAAAAGGGTCCATAAGGGTGTCCCCACTACGCTGCTGACTGAGCGTCCTACGTGGTACAATTTTTCTAAATTGTATTTTGACCTCCTATTTCTAATTTTCCTTTAAAAAATACCGCAGAATCCAAGTTTTCACATCTTTTTTAAAAAATTATTTTCAATTTCATCCTCCATTTAATTTACTTCATTTTTACATTAAATAAGAATTAAAAAATTAAAAAAATATATTTATTCATTAATTTTAATTACAATTAAAATTAATTAGGGCATTACATCTATCAATTATATATATATATATATATATTAAAGTATGATAAACCATCATCTTTATTCAAAATAATTTTGTACCAAAAATCTTTAACTTATCTAATTACAAGTGAAAAGATGTGTAAGAAATATAGGTGCACCTTAAAATATTTTTTACTATACTAAACATATTGAGATTGATGGACATTATGTATGTTATACGTGTCTACCAATTCTGAATTGACATATGCATTAAATAAATGTATAAATAACTCACACCAGCAATTATAGTATTAAAAAGAAAGTAAATAAATGTATTAAAAAAATGAAACAAAAATCATAATATTAAAAGAATAATTAACTCCATGTATTACAAAAAAAATAAATTAAATTAAAAGATAATTTTATTATTTATAATTAATTAATTATTTTATTTTTCTCTTAAAAGTCATAACATTTAATGAAATTCACATTAATCAAAATCATTTATAACTCCTAGAGATTGGCTATAAAAAAAAAGTAAGTTATTATTAGTTTAATAATTTTATTATAAAATGTCATAGACCCGACTCTTAAAATGGATTACAATTAAATCAAATAAGAGATTTTCCAAGAATTGAAAATCAATTTCATCTTTTAAAGATGAATGCACACGAAATTTATAATTAAGGTTGTAATATCCAATTTATTTGACCGATTAATCAGACATAAATATTTTTTTAAATAAATCTATATATTTATTAATTTAATAAATATATAAATTACTTATAATATGTAATATCCCGAAACTTTTTGAAAGGGAGATAAAGACATGAATTGAATGCGGAAGCGAAATAATAAAGTTAAGGTTTACATTGCTTACACAATAGTTTTAAATACTCAATAGAGATACGAGAATGTCCCTTCTAAAAGAACAAACAAAAATCAAAAAAATAAACGAAAAGTAGACAACTGAGCATCCTAGGACGATTTTCACTAAATTTTGAAGGAGTTCAGGTGGTAAACTATTCACAACCCTCTTGTTGATCGAGATCCGGATCTTGGTCCTCTTGATCTGAAATAGTTAATGAATAAGTAAGCTACACTACCTCAGTAAGAATATCACACTACTCACCGATACAGAAAATGAAGGTTGGTAAAAATAATAAAGGCACCCAATAGAGCTCTTAATTTAAGTAAATTCATTTATCATAAGTAAAACCATTTATTGTATACTTACCGTTGCGAGATTTTCAAAATCAACCTATAGAGACAATAGCTCAACAACATCATAATCTCATATTTAAGTAAGAATAATAACTTTCAATTTTTATTTACCTACTGGTATCCATTGGGGTACATAGGGATGTCCCACTTCGCGTAAACCAACATCCAACCTTATCAACTAACCAGTTGTCCTCATACATCGTCTGGTATGAGAACCAAAATACTATCTCTCAATACCCCATCCGGTATGAGGGTGAAACGGGCCGTCCCCATACCCCGTCCGGTATGGGTACCAAAATATCAATCATCGAAACCCAATTCGGTATAAGGGTGAATCGGGTCGTCCCCCATATCCCGTCTGGTATGAGATAATATTCACGGTAGGGTTTCCTATGTACCCATTCCGTCCATCATCTCTCAGGATATCCAGTAAGACAACCGTTTCATCCATTCACTGAACCAATCAATTTTCCGTTTACATTTAATTTTCAGTTTCAAAATTTAATTGTAAATCAATGCAAGAAATATAATACATGCATCAAGGAAACACATTTAATAATTTTAATATATTATCATCCATTTAAAACTGTAAAAATCAAACAATCGATTAAACAGGACAAACAATAATAAATAACCAGGCTCCATTAGTAACCTGTAATTAATTCTCAAAGTTTTTTAAATTACATAAAATATTGTATTATTGATAATTAAATTTTAATTTCATAACAGAGAATAAGGTGAGAGATTCTTACCCGAATCGGTGTCTGAAACACTTAACTTTCTACTGCGCTTACTGGCGGTCTTTAAGTTTTCTAAATTTTCCTGAAGGTAAAAACACATATTACAAAAACCTAAAATTGATGTTAAAAGTTTTTTCCGGTCAATTTTACAATTCTACAGGGCAGCATCGTTGCCTGTGGTAGCAGTTTACCTCGAATTGGCCATTTCTGATCATTTTTGACCGATTTTAGTCGGTTTTATACCCATCCATGTGAGAACATGTTAAGGGCCTCAGTTGGCTGAAAAAAGTTAAAAAATAAAAACTTACAGGCGGCAGAATTTTTCGATGCGGCAACTCCGCCGACTCACATTTATAGCTCAGTGTTTTTCTTCGGTTAACCTGTAGAAAACATAATGGTGAACACAATGGTGAAAAAATCACACGAAACGGAAAACGGGAAGGGGCTCATCAAAGGCAATTTTTGATTTTTTCCGTGGCAGCACTATTGGATTTTACCCGCGATTTTCGACTCATCCACTATTCTTTTTGCTCTGATTCGGCCATGGGGGTGTTCAAAATCAAATTCCAAGCAAATAAGAGAATTTTTACCTTTTTTGGTAGTCGGAGGTGGCTTCACCGGGTAGGTCGGCTCCCTTCTCCAACGACTGGTTCTTCTTCTCCAACGAGGGATGGGGGGGATTGGCGGCTAGGATTTGGATTCAGTGTGAAGTGAGATATTTATACTTGTTTTCCTTAAATCTGGACCATTCTTCGCATTTGATCTAGACCGTCCGATCGCATTTAAAGAAAAAATAAATTTAGACCATTCATCGCAATTTGATCTCGACCGCAAGATCGTATTTAAAGAGGAAACAAATCTGAGTCGTCCATCGCGTTTAATCACGATCGTTTGATTGGACTTGAGGAGGGAACGAATTTGGACCGTCCACACGTGCAGGAACACATCTAGGCCGTCCGATCGCGAACATGTAAATTGCCAGCGTGGCCTCCCGCGTGGCACCGAGTCAGTGTGCCTTGCCACGCGGCACATTCCGATTTGTTAGGGCTGCTGACTGGACGGTCCTACGTTGCACATTTTTTTAATTGTATTTTGACCTACAGTTTCTAATTTTTCTTAAAAAAATACATCCCGAACTCGAATTTTCACTCCTTTTTCTCAAAATTATTTTCAATTTCATCTTCCATCTATTTTTTCTAATTTTACATTAAATAAAA